ATTTGTTTTCTCCATTTTATGTAAAAGAACAATTTGGAAATATACAAAAAATTATTTGCGTGCCAAAAATAAATTAACTTTAATTTGTTTTTTGACTGTATATTCACAGAAAAACATTTCAAGGCTCATGAGAACGTTTTGGTTACCATTTGAAGCCACCTTATAGGCTACACTTATAAACTGCTTAAGTGTCTGATATCCTTTAGAGCAGCTATTATAGACTTTTTATTATTATTGATTGTTAAAGTTGCATCTTTTTATTTTCTTTAGTGAAACATGCAAACATGCTTTTTATTATGTTTATTTTTTTATTGCAAAGATATTAAAATTCACAAAAAAAAGGGAAAAAAACTATTCTAACCTTAGGGCTTTAAAGATAATAAAGTAGCAAACATTGATTTAAATTCAACATGCAATATTGTAAGCTTTCAGTGCAGCAGTAAATAAAATGCAATGCTGAATAAATAAGAATTTAAGCAAATTTAAACTTATTTTAGATTTGATTTAATATTGCTACAAGGTTGTTGCACTAATTGTATCCTTCACAGTTTTCGCATGAAATATTTAACATACGAATGAAAATCATTTATGTTTTTTTTTTAGATTTTACCTTACATTTGCATAAGAGAGAACTCATAATTATAATGACGATTACATTTACGCAACAACAAAATGCGAAGAAAAATAAAATTTTTTTATAATTATGATATATCTTAACATAACTGAAAGAAGAAAAAAATATGTCGAATGATATATGTGCACTGAAAAAAAAGTAGCTGAAAAGTAGAAAAGTAGCGCAGTGCAACAACTCAAATGAAATGAATTAGGAGGAGCACAAAATGCTGTCAAAATGCGCACAGAAGCTGCTTTTAATGCAAATATATACAAAACCATAAAAAATGCAGATACACACAGTTGCAAATCACTAATGGTATTTTCTTGCTTCTGTTAATGTATCTACGTATAAAACACATGTGTTAAATACCAGCAACAACAACAACAACAGCAATTCTTTGTAAATAGATATTTACTTTGCTGTATACGAACGAGCACAACACAAATTAGATACAAAAGCGTATAACTTTGATGGAAAATATTTGCTGTGCTTAAATTGTAAAAAAAACTAAGGGAAAAAGGAACGTATTTGCAGAATTGGGTTTGATTGTACATGTCTATGGTTGTGGCTATTGCATTCCGCACAGATTACAGATTGAAAGTTCAAATAATTTCACATAAAAAAGTCAGACAATGTGAAATAATATTAACGCGAAATAATGACTTTAATTTAAATTGATTTGATTTAACAAAACAAAATTTGGCGCTACTAAAATAGCAAGTGCAGCAACACACCAATGAATATAGCCAGCGCAAAAAACCTTATCCGTTTTATGCCAATAAAATCGCATCGAATGAATATTGAAAGTTTAACTAGCGGCAAAATCACACTTGATAAGTGACACGGACCCATAAACGTTAATACTACTTCAGAACACATACGATATATAGCAAAATTCAATGCATGCACTCAGTGTACTTCTCGTACTGAGTACTGCATGGCGGCGGCAATGCAAACTTTCTTCTGACAAAATGAAAAAAAATGTGTAGTATAATGGTCAGAGAGCAAAATTTAGCACTACCCAATAGTAAAGCGTTGGTCAATATCCAACTGTTTGCCAATGTGTATGCTGGCACTACTAACCAGGAGCCAACCAACCGTAATCACCACCATCAATACCTCCACCATTATAAACAATGTACATACGTACCAACACCGTATGTTCTCTGGTTTAAACCAAAATTTTCCACACTACGTACGTAACGTACATATACAGAGGAGTATCGAAAAGAAAAATAAAGGATAAAATAAATTTGTGCACGCTTCATTTTGTGACGCTTATGTTGGCATTTTGCATTAATTTCATTTAGGTCCATTGGTGACCAAAGCCGCCAATAATTCAGTGGTAACGATTAAATCTCTACGAAATTTAACACACCCGGAAGAGTCTCAGATGCAAAGTACAATTTTATGGTATTTTGGTCACAATGTCGATATATTCTTCATAATCGAAAATTATATAGCACAGAAATTGGTTAAAATAAAAATAACCTGCTAAGGAAGTTTACTGCTTTGAGGTAGGCGATAAAATTAAATGTGCCTTTCCTCCAATTAAAAGGAGTTTAAAACTGATTTATTGCAAAAGAAGTTATGTACACGAAGCAATATTAATTAAATTTTATATATGTTCCGAAAGTAAAGTTGTGCAGGATTTTAACAATTTGTTCAATCATTTGTAAACAAAGTTTTAAAATTTTTATAATCTTTTGTGAAAAGAGAAATTATGCGTGAGTACTCGAAAACAGATATGAACATTTATTTTTAGTAACGAAACACTAGTGTCAGAGTAAGTGGATCTTACAGTATTTGTATACATTATTTTTGTTTAAACATAAAATTAAATTAAATGAAATAAAATAAAATACAAAAAAAAAAACATAAAACAATTGTAAACTGCGTTTTTGAGCAATGTTTCCTCATGTGTATTTAAGTCAAAGGAACGGTTCGCATTGATAATAAAAGGTGAATAAAATTGTGCATACTTTCAGGGGTTTTGTGCAGTTAAACTAAAGTTTCATTATAATTCTGATTTAAAATATATTGTTATATTTTACATACTATATTGATAATTTTATATATTTTATTATTATTACTGTGTGCGAATTCGAGTAAATTGATGATAAATTAAGGAAAATAGTAAATTATGTCGTTATGGCAGCGAATATTGGTATTCACCGGAATTTCGAGTAGGGCAAATTCGATAAAAATTAGGTAAATTAGGTGTTACCATTGTGAAATTTTATAAGATGTTTAATAAGTAAATAAATTAATTTGAAAATTTTGAAAATTTTAACCAAAAATAATAAATAAGTGAAATAAATAGATAAATAAATATTTATATAAGTGCAGTGCAAAAACTCTCTAGGATATTTCAATTTACTTTACCTCAATGTACTCGACCTCGCACACGGTCTATATATATGTTACTTTTTTTTTATATTATAAGTATTATAAATATTTTTTCCATTATTTGATTTTTTTTTATTTTATTTTATTTTATTTTTTTTTTCATATTTTAATTTATTTTTTATATTTTAATTTTTTTTATATTTTATTTAGTCACATATAATTATTTGTAAATAGATGTTTACGACATATAGTCGGTATTTGGTAGCGCCGAACGATAACTAATGCTCGTTTGTGGTAAATCTCTAAACAAATTTCTATTGATAAATTAAATAGGAATGATAAATTAAATTATTAACGATTAACTGTTTGTGTGTCTTCATAACGAATAACAATTTGAATTGGGGTATTTTATGGAAATGTAGGCAAATTAAATTCGAATATACAACCGATATATTCAAATTTGCGTGCATAGGATATACAGACTAGAAGGATAGTTGCCAACTGGTGGTGCGGCAATCGAATTGAATAGGTGTGGATACATAGCTTGTAGTTTGTCCACTAAGACCTCGTTAATTAAAATTATTTATATATTAGGTAAAAGCATATATTATTTATATACCTATACACAATTCAGTAGATACCAGAGATGCATATACCATATTAAATAATCATACAGTTCCTTGTTCTTAAACTTTGTAATCCCTACTAAAAATAAGAATGTCATAGTGGTTCTTGGTGAAAAAATTTTTTGGAACCATTGATCAAGAAGCTTGTTGGAAGAAGTACTTAAGAAAATAATTAACGAGTAATAGCACAATCAAGTTGGCATTGACTTATTAGAATAAATGGAAGTATCATTATTTTTCAAAACTGAAGTCGTTGTAATAAACGAAATGTCATATTCTTTGATTTTATATAAAAGTTGCATGTAAACACAGCTGTTTTCAATTATAAAATATTATCATCAAGAGCTTTTACTAGTGTTTTACATTTTAAATATTTTTTTATATCAACTATTAATTTTTGTGATTAATGTTACAATCCGACAACATATAGAAAAGATTTTAATCAGATGATTTAATTCAAATTTATATTAAATAAAAATTAAAGCTACTTAGTATTATTACGAGGATTTGTGGACTCAAAACGGTTTTCTTAACTAATTGAGATGGATTCGTTCCTCCCTTCATCATAATTAACTAACTAGAATTATTGCAATTATGAATTTTTGTTACTTTATTATATTATAATAAAAATGTTATCTCTAACTAGATATGAATACTTTTTTATTTAATATACCTATGTATATTATATTAAATGTATGAAATATGTTAATTTGAAATTGATATTTTTATTCATTGTTGTTAGTAAGATGATTTGAATATCATCCATTTTACAGTTTCAAGTAAAAATATTTGTTGCATGTGCAGAATTTCTCGAATGCTATCTATTCTCACTGGCATACATATGTATAACATATATCCTTAACTCCAAGGCAAATATGCAAACATATATCCCCTAACAGAAACGCAAACAAAATTTTAAGCTCAATCTACAAATATTTCGTTTCAAGTACAAATTATGAAGCTTATATGTCAGCAGAAAACATAACAAAAAAAAAATATCGTACTTTTGGCAATACATAAGCGATATTAATGGGAATAGAAACACTTAACAAAAAACACAATATTTGCATCAGAAATTGCAGCTTCGAAATTCTAGGCATGCAACCAGAATAATGATATCCTGCCGAGCATAGTAGAAATGCAATAAATTCACAGCTGGAGGAATTGCAAACTCAATATATAGACATGGCAAACGGCTTCAGTCGTATAACAACCCGCAGCAGTAGTACTGTTTCATTGATGAATCACTGGAGGAAAATGTGTAACACATCTAACATTAGCGCACGTGATTATATATGA